CTCTTTGGGTTCCTCTTGATTGGGATTCTCTGTGTTTCCTAGATTTGTGTGACTTTTTCTCTCATCAAATTAGGGAAGTTTTCCTTCATTACTTTTTAAAATAGGTTTTCTATCCCTTGCTCTTCTTCTTCTCCTTCTGGTATCCCTGTTATACGGATATTATTACGTTTCATATTGTCTTACATTTCTCTTAATCCCTCTTCATTCTTTTTGAGCCTCTTTTCCTTTTCTTGCTCTTTCAGGGTGTTGTTTTCTACTTTGTCCTCTAGCTCGCTAATCTGATCTTCTGCTTCATCAATCCTGCTTTTAATTCCTTCTACTGTGTTCCTCAGTTCAGAAATGGCATTCTTCATTTCCTCTTGGCCCTTGTTGAGAGTTTCTATTTCCTTTTTCATGTTTATATAGTTTGCAGTGAGATCGTTGTAGCTTCCCTCTAGTTTCTGGTAGCTCATTGTGAGTTCATTGAGCTTCTTGATAATCATTGTTTTGAATTCAATATCTGATAGTTGAGTTGACTCTATTTCAGTTAGCATTTTTTTCTGAGGCTTCCTCCTTTCCCTTCATTTGGGGATTGTTTCTTTGTTTTCTCATTGTTCGTGGGTTTCTTCTTGTTAGCCTCTGTTTCTTAAATCGATCTGTTCTGGTTCCCTGTGATTATGATGTGAACTTCTGTGGTAGAGACCTGTGAGATTCAGTGGTGCAGTCTCCTTCGTGTAACCTGGTGTTCACAACTTCCCCCTACTCGTCTGGTTTTTCAATGTCTGGTATAATTTTTGATGTCCTGTTTTCAAAAATGTTTCTGTAACCTAGGCCACTTGCTCTGTTCCTCTGCCGATCCAGTAGTTTCCCTCCCCTGTACAGAAACCGAGAATCACGCTCCCTAGAGCAAAGACTCCATCTTTCCTCTGAAATAGGTAATTTTCAAAGGTGCTGACAGAACTCCCACTGTGATTCTGGGCAAAGTTTGGAGTTTTATCATTTGAAAGGACTAATAGGGCTCAAAAGGCTAGTTTTGGTTTCCTGTCTGTGCCTTCATATTCTAATTTAATAACATCCTCCAGCAAACATCTTCCAGCAAACAGACTGCATATTCTGTGTCCCAAGCCTGATTACCCCAGAGGTCCGCTGACTCTGGTCTGGGCTGCACCATCCCTGCTATTTCTGTAGGCCTGAGTCAGGTGGCGGAGACAAAGGCAGCCAGGAGACTTGGATTTCTCACTTCTAAGAACGAGGACTCAGGCTTTGACAAAGCCGAGGGGGCAGGAGTCGATGGCCATCACCCCTTCATTTCTACAGCCCGGAGTTACTTCCCTGAGGCCTCCTCATGATCATGCCTGTCTTAGGAAATTCCCTTCATGGGGAAATCCTACCCGTCATTGGCTAACTGATCAAGCATAGGAGACCAGGCAGAGAACAGGCAGCATTCATGCCAGGGAAATAAGTTTTGTCTCCTTAGTGGCTCCTGGTCTGGAAGTCTCTCACTCAGCCTAAGTCATGGGGGGGGGGGGGGGTTACAGCTTCCTGAGGCCAGACAGGGAAGACCCCAACAGATATGGGACTAACCTGTTCTACATCTCCTTCTTCATGCTAGTCTTGATGTGGCTTCTTTAAATCTCTTGTTGTAGGACTTCCATTAAGCTAGATTTTAGGTGAGGTAAATGATGATCGTTATGTAATTTAGTTGTAATTTTGATGTGGCTGTGGAAGAATTTGTATACCACATTTACTTATGCCACCATCTTGACCAGACATCTAAAGCAATTTCATGTTAGTGACAATGAATTTATATGGTAATAAATCTGACCTGTGTAATAGCGCTTGGCTTCTCAGATACCCAAAGAGAGAAAGAGATAATTAATTTCATTATATGATCATGATTGTGTTGAACACTAGGACCAAAATAAGGTCAAGAAGTTTGTGTATTGGCAGAAGTGAAAACTATTATGGAATCAAGCCAGATATGGAGAAAGAAAAAGGAAGAAGCAGAGGGACACATCAGAGCCAAATGGAGTTGAAGACAAAGCTAGAGAGGCTAATGTCAACAAAGAGAGGTTAATTCTATTTTCATGTCTGAAAGAGATGAACAAGTAAGCTATGCAGATAAGGGTATTTGTAGATGGTGGGAGTCCTTAGTAATACAATTTTGAGTGGAAGCATATGTGGGACATAAAAATGATACTCTTAAACACAGACAAAAGTATGGTGGTTACCAGAGGAAAGGGTGGTGGGGGGAGTAAAGTGGGGCAAATATATGGTGACAGAAGTTGATTCGAGTTTAGGTGATGGGTACACAATACAATATACAGATGAAGTATCAGAGAAATCTACCCTTGAAACCTATATAATCTTTTTCTCAAATATTTTATTTATTTTAAGAGAGAGGTGGAGAGAGGGAGAAAGGGAGGGAGAGAAACATTAATGTGTGGTTGCCTCTCACGTACCCCCTACTGGGGACCTGGCCTTCAGCCCAGACCTGTGCCTGGACTGGGAATCGAACCAGTGACCCTTTTGTTCACAGGTCAGTGCTCAGTCCACTGAGCCACACCAGTCATGGCTACCCTTGAAACCTATATAGTCTTATTAACCAATGTCACACCAATAAATAAAGTAAAAAAGACACTTCTGAGATGAAACATTTAAACATATGACAAAGACCAATGGGTTCCCATGGGGTGGTTGGCTGAGGCACAGTGCAGAAATGACGTGGAGATGAAGAGGCAAAAGGACTGAGTGGCTAGGATGTAGGAGGTCCATGATCACCGACACTGATGCATCTGAAGGCTGTGATTCATCATCACTGGTGAATGAAAAGGATGTCTGGGAGGACAAAGGCAACACTGAGTGAAGGATGTCCCCCATATGTTACAACATGAAAACAATTTCCCAGAAGCAGTTGTAAATGGACAATCTAAATGATACACTTAGAGGTGTTTAGTCCTTTCAGCTGGAGCCTGAAGTCTCCTGTATTCTGGAGGTGTGTGATGAGATAAACTGATTCAGTTTAGTGTGAGAATTTCCTGTTCAAACCTGAAGTGACACTTTGATGAGATACTTTTTCCACTATCATTTCACTCTGAGCCTTCACAGGGCAGTCTGTGAAGGTAACAGATATTGTTTATTTTGGTCCTAAATTTATGATTTTAAATTTCTCTTTTTGTTACCCATCTAAGCAGGCCTCTTTGTTGAGAGCCACCTGGCTTCCCCACTAAAGGATGCATGACTTTCTGGCTGACAGAAGGTATGTGTCACTACTCTCCTGACTCTCTAACAGCCTGTCTCAGACAGTGGGGCAAGTAAACACCCCGATGTGATACACTGAAGGTCAACTAATGTACAACAAACCAAGTGGAAAATTAGTGATTTTTTATGTGAGAGAGAAAATTAGTGGTTTTATTAGAATAATTCATGTTAAAAATAATAAAATATGAAATATGTTGAAGGATGTCTTAGAGTGTTCAAATTATTGCTTGTAGGAAATTGATCAAATGCATATACACACATGCATAGCTGGGTTTGTACATCTAACTAATTTAATGTTAGTCCCACAAACATCATGACAAGGAATAATTCATTTTGGATTTTTATAATCAGCACAAGGTATGTTTTTGTGTGTAGTAATATGTTAATTTATATTTTGCTTAATCTTCATAAATAGATGTTTAAAAAGTAATTCATTGTACGATAAAGGCCAAACACAATTTCTTACACACTTATTTAGATTGAATAAAAGCAGCCTGATTTTTACTAAATGTCAGGATGAGGTAGTTTCTGTAAAATGTTAAAGTAAACCTAATTATAAACAATCAAAGTACTTTTAAAAATTTGAACAAGCTAGGCAAAAAAGATCTACCATACTGATTACAGAGACTTCTGCTTATTCAATTACTTTACAGGATATAACTGAATCAGAAATAATCACATAGAAACTGTGAATAACATGATAGTTGAGATAATTAACATTTTTGAGAGTTTGTGTGTCAGGTGGGGTGCTAAGTATCACACGCACAATGTCTTACATATTGTTTTCACTTTAGATTAGTAAAGTAGGTTACTTGACAGTAACTTTTTTAAAGTCACACATTGTAAGTTGCAAAGCCAGAATTAAATCCTATTTCTCTGAGTACAGAGTTCATTTACTGAATTATTAAATTATATTACTTGGCTTATTGTAATTGCTTAGACAACTAATGTAATTTGCTCTTACTATGACACTCAAAGGATCTTTCTAGAAGCTTAAAAGAATGTTATTCCTCCATAAATAACCTCTACTTCATTATCTTATGGATTCAAACATACCCATTAAATCAGTTATCGATTAGTTTTGTAAAATAATTATTTTAAATCTTTTTGTTGTTTCATTTTCATGATTTTTTATGTTATAGATAAGTTTACTATATCATGTAACATTTTCCAACATATAAAATATTTCTTTAAATTTTTACTTAATTCTCAGAACTCATCCACCATTCAAAATAAAGAATCTTTTAATAACTACTTTAATAAATAAATGTAAGTCACTAAATAAATGTAATTTAGTGCAGGAAATTAATGTATATGCCAAAACTACTGTTTTTCATCATTAAAGCACTTAGTCTTTACTATTGGATTTCAAAATTCTCAAAAATACCTTTTCTTCTTTCTAATAAAACATTTAATTTCTAAGAGATATTCTAATGTCAAAATATTTCTGTGAAATAAAACTTTAAATTAATGAGGATGTTATTATCCACGTACATCTGTATTTCTCACTAATTATGCCTTTTTATCACTCAAATAATATATAAACAAATGTAGAGTATATTTAAAAATGTATTTTACCATAAGACACTTGTTTAAACCTTTAAGGAATTTAGAACCAGAACTTCAGATTCTTCAACTGGGAAATGACCCTGATACTCACCCTCCACCCTGCCCAGTGTCACTGTGAGGGATCTCTTCAGTGCGTGTCACTTAATCGTAAGCACACATGTTGCAGAGCACAGTCTCGGCCACCACTCAGCTGCAGAGATGAGTGACCAGAGAGTAACCTATGCAGAACTAAATCTGGTTAAGGACCCAAAGAAACATCACAAGAAACCTAAGAGAACTCAAGGCTCCATTCCAGGAACTGAGCAGGAACTAACCTATGCAGAATTAAATCTTCAAAATGCTTCTCAGGATCTTCGAGGGAGTGACAAGAATGACCACTGCAAAGGTAACACATTCAACAGACACAGTATAACTGTTCTGGGATGTGCAGCTGGGTGCAGAGGTGTGGGGAAAAGTAGGGAATAAGCTCACATATTTTCATTTTAAGGATCAGAACTTGAAGTTGGAATATGGTATGTTAATATGAAAGCTGAGTACTAATTTTATTCAGACATTCTTGTAGGTTGCAGTCTTTGACCAGTAACTCATAGAGCATTATATTTAATGAAAATGCAATGAAATATTCTGAGAGGAAGATTACAGTAGTAGATAACACTCTTGGGGTCCAAGTTTATTTATATGACTACCCGTGCATGGGGGTTTCTGTTTATAAACTATCTAAACAATTGTCTCCGTCTCTCCTCTCTCAATGTTTCCGTTTCCCTCCCTGCAGCATCCCTGCCACCTCCAGAGAAGCTCATTGCTGGGATCCTAGGGGTCATCTGCCTTGTCCTGATGTGCACTGTGATACCAATAGCTGTTATTCACTGTAAGTAAATTTTTGTAAGACCATATGGCTTTTTCACTTCAATATTCATCAATACCTCTAAACACTTCATAATATTATAGAACTTTCACTTAAAGATATGCACTTAGACTAAATGTAGAGTGGTTATTTTAAATTTGTTAAATGCATGACTAATAATGATTATAGAAAGTATTTTATATACATTCATATATTCTGATTTCATAACTCAAACACATGTTTTTTGAAGACTGGAAAATCTTAGAAATATAAATTTATTTTGAGATTGGTCAAATGAAGTAATGTTAAGAGAGAGTGAATTTTTATTCTGTAGAATTTCATTATAGTTACACCTAAATGGTTATTACTTTATTAACTTTTCTTGGCAAAATAAATTTTATTGCAGATTATTCTAAACAAATCATAATACTTCAAAGTGTTATAATTTGTTTAGATTAAGAATGACTTTAATTTTTGTAGCTCTTGCAACACTGAAGAAGAACTATTCCTCCCCAATAACAAAGATCCAGAAAGGTATATAATTTCCAAAGTTTTCATATTTGCACAGTTTGTATTTTTGTCTCTGCCTTGGGGTAGGCAAAAATGATAATAATTTTGGGGGGACAACATAACATAAATGGGCTATAATTGTTCATAAATAATATTTATGCAAGTGTGCTTTTTCTTATGCAACTATATAAATAAATATTCATTTAAAATATCCAAACCCATTTTTGCCAATTGGCCCAAACTTCCCACTGCTATGACAAAACAAGTAATTTTACTATTCTTAATAACTGGTTTAATTGATTAACTTTTGGACATGTGTAGAGTGGATATTTTTGTTTGTGTATTTGCTTTATATATACACATAATTAGGGGCTGAGGGGCTGACTTTTCTCTGTGTTTGTATGACTGTATTTTGCATTATATGTGCCAGCCTGTGAGGATGCTTAGAAATATTATATACATATATGTTTATATTTGTGAATTATATGTTAATTTTCATTTTGAAACTTCAAGTTGTTGGGTAATAATTCATAATCTTTCCTCAGCATATTCTTGTGGTCATTGTCCACCAGAGTGGTTTACATATTCCAACAACTGCTATTACATCAGCACTGAAAATAAAACATGGACTGAGAGTTCGAAGGCCTGTGCTTCTAAGAACTCTAGCCTGGCCTACATAGATAATGAAGAAGAAAGGGTGAGATATCAAACATTTCGTACACTTTACTTATGGCTTATTTTAGTCAATATTGTATTTGTAGCATTCATTCATATTTTTGTACATATTTACAGCTATTTAAAGTCTTCTAATATTTCATTGTTTGACTTCATAATATTTTGTCACACTGTATACCAGTAATGCACATTTATACTTCATAGAAAACTGTGCTTCTATATATGCTTGGTTTCTACAATAAACTTTGCTATTTAATTTTGCCTTATGTGAAGGACACTAACTACATCACAATTGAGCACATTGGCTACACAGGGAATGGCACCATGTAATTACAAATCAGATCACCAAATGCAGTGGGCAGTCCTCTATAGCCCTGCTCTTGAGTATCCATTCTCTCACTGCCTCTCCCCCCTCACCACTTACCCACTGGGCTGACTTTGATATTATAGAGTCTCTTTGCTTGTTTTTGAACCTCATATAAATGCAATGCTATAGTAGACATTTTTCTTCCTGTCTTTTTTCACACTTGTATGCTATTGTTGCCTTTTATCTACATTGTATTTATCTGCTGCTAGTTAATTTTCACTGCTGACTTGTGTGAATGTAATATTTTAAAATCCATCTATCTGATGTCTTCATTGGGGATGTGTGTTTCATGCCCTCAGGGATGAAGAGCCTTTCTAAGTCCATTTCTTTTAGTCATAAAATCCCCTTTGCTGGTCCCACCTCCAACCCATCTACCCTGGTTTCTCTTAGGAAAAGGAGAGGCACTTGCTCTCCTTGCTTTTGTCAGCAGGTGTCCTGGTGGATCACCTTGTACGCCTACCTGGAGTTGCTGGTCAGGCTTCCCTCTGCAGAGCAGAGGGGGGATGGCTTGCTTCACCACCTCCTGTTGTTAGGTAGGGTCTGGGAAGCATCAGGCCTCAGTCACTTTCATTTGGGTGGGAGTATAAGATACCCCCTCACACTGTTTTTCCCTAACCTTAGTGTACCAAATTATTTTCCTTCTTCTTTCCACCTTTCAGGGTTCTCTTTGAGTTGTGTTTCTTATTAGTTACAGAATTTCTAACTGTAGTCTTCAGAAAAATGAGTCTCTAACACTAGATTCCATAGATACAAAAAAGATCACTTCAGGCTTATCTGCTTAAAGAATGGTGCAGGCCCCCCCAAAACAATTTTTTACATTTAGTGTCCTTTCTTTGCTTAATTATATTTTATTGATTATGCTATTGCAGTTGTCCCAATATTCCCTCCTTTGCCTCCCTCCATACAGTCTCCTCTCTCTCAGGCCATCCCCCTACCATTGTTCACATCAATGGTTTATACCTATAAATTCTTTGGCTATTCCATTTCCTATACTGGACTTTACATCCCATGTTGGTTCTGTAACTACCAATTTGTAGTTCTTAATTCTCTCACTTCTTCTACCATTCCCCTACACCAATCTCTGATCAAAATGCTCTCTGCTACCATGATTGTCTCTGTGCTCTTCTTTGCTTTTCTTGTTTCTTTGGTTTGTTTTTCAGATTCAGTTGTTGATAGATGTATATTTATTGCCATTTTGCTGACAGTTTGATCTTCTATGTTTTCTCTTTTTTTATCTTCTCCTTAAATAAGTCCTTTTAACACTTCATATACTAAGGGTTTGGTTATGATGACCACCTCTATTTTTTTCTTATCTGGAAAGCACTTATCTGCCCTTCAGTTCTAAATGATAGCTTTGCTGGGTAAATCAATCTTGGCTGTAGGTCCCTGAGCTTCCTGCCTTTGAATATTTCTTGCCAATACCTTCTTGCCTGAAAAATTTCTTTCAGAAATAGGATGACAGTCTTATGGGAACTCCCCTGTAGGTAACTAACTGATTTTCTCTTCCTGCGTTTGAGATTCTCTCTTTATCTTTAACCTTTGGCATTTTAATTATCATGTGTCTTAGAGTAGGTATCTTTACATCCTTCTTGTTTGGGACTCTGCACTTTATGCCTTTCATGTCTATTTTCTTCACCAAATTAGGGAAGTTTTCTTTCATTATTTTTTCAAATAGATCTTCTATTTCTTGCTGTTTCTCTTCTCCTTCTGGCACCTCTGTGATATGAATGTTGGATATCTTGATGTTGTCCCAGAGGCAGCTATACTATGCTCATTTTTTTTTTGGATTCTTTTTTCCTCTTGTTCTGTATGGTTGTTTTTTGTTTCCTTATGTTGCAAATAATTGATTTGAGTATTGGCTTCATCCACTTTACCGTTGTTTCTCAGTAAGTTGTTCTTTATTTCAATTATGCATACTTCCTTTCTGACTGGATCTTTTTATGTTGTTGAGGTCCTCACTAAGTTTCTTGAGCATCCTTATAACCAGGGTTTTGATCCCTGCATCTGACAGATTGTTTATTTCTGTTTTGCTTAGTTCTTTTTCTGGGGTTTTGATCTGTTTTTTCGTTTGGGCCATGTTTCTCTGTTTCTTCATTTTGGCAGCCTCCTTGTATGTGTTTCTGTGCATTATGTAGAGCTACTTTGGCTCCCTGTGTTGGTAGTGTGGCCTAATGTAGTAGGTGTCCTGTAGGGTCTAGTGGCACAGCCTTCCCTATCAACCAAGCTAGGTACTCAAAGTGTGCCCTTCATGTGGGCTGTGTACCCCTTCCTCTTGCAGCTGAGCCTTGGGTGCTTTTGGAAAGTCAATGGGAGGGATTTACCCATGCCAGTCAGCTGTAAGTACCTGCCATTATCACTGACCTCCAACTCCTGCCCTCTGTGGAGGATCAGCTGTGCAAAGGCTCCAACATGGTCTATAGCTGTCCACTGGGTGCACAAGTCTTGGGGTTTCCTGGGTGGTGCAGGCCATGGTCTGCTCCCACCTCTGCTTGGCCCTGTCCCTCTCTGCCTGAGCTATGGAGCAATCTGAGATAACTACTACCTGTACTGGGATTGGAGATTCCCAGGTGAAGCCAAATTGTGAATCTAGGCTGGCTGCTGCTAGTGAAATGACTGGGAACACTGGGCAAGAGGTGTGTTATGGGGAGGAGAAGAAAGTTCACTGAGGCCAGCTGTTGCTTGTTTGAAAGGAATTAGGAAGTTGTGAAGCATAAGCTAATAGCAGCCATTCATATGGAAAAGCCACTGTTAATAGCTGTAAGTTGAATGAGATGGAGCTTTAGGGGATCCTTAGGGTGGAGCAAACATTATTAGCTAGGTGGATTGAGTCTCAGATATGGCATCCACCTCCTGGCTCTATGGCTCTGCCCACCTTTATGTCTGGGACAAAGCTGTCCCCCAGGTCTCACCTTGATGCCAGACTTTCCAGTCTCTCCCCATATGCCACCAGTGCCTTTCAAGCTGCTACCATAGTGCTGGAGCTCAGAGGGAGTGAGTCTGTGTAAGTTCTTGTGTGGCTTCTCTAAGAGGAATTGCTTGGGATTCCAGAAGTTCTTCCACTAACTCAATTCCTGCTGGTTTTTGCAGTCAGAAATTATGGGGACTTATCTTCCTGGCACTGGAACTCTAACTGGGAGGGGGCCTGGTATGGGTCTGGGACTCCTCACTCCTGAGAGATCCCTCCTGAAATTTTATCCACAACATGTGGATGTGGCAGCAGTCCATTCAGCATCTCCATCCCTCTTACCAGTCTGGATGGATGTGGTTTCTTTAATTCCGTAGTTATCAGACTTCCCTGCAAGTGGATTTCTGATGGTTCTGAGTGATAGGTTTCTGTAATTTAGCTGTAATTTTTATGTGATCATGTGAGGAGGCAAGCCGTATTTACCTATGCCACCATCTTCCCCTTTATTTTCTTAATTAAAATTCCATAACTTAAAAAAAAACTGAGTATTTGAAAAACAGTAGAAAACTACATTTAGTTATGGAATCAAATACTTTATATAAATGTTAAGAAATTTATTTAAAACCTTGTGGTGTTAGATTTGTCAACAAGGGTAGCGACTAAAGTACATATAGCAAAATATTCCTTATTAACCTAAGAGGAAAAATGAAACTATGATGCATAAATGTTTAAGAGGTAATTTTAAATCAAATGTACAAATGTTGCTGAAAGTTTCTGACAGTATGAAATTGATTTTAATATCTCTTTAAATGTCTTTAATATATTAAATCTTAATATTAAGACTTTAAAAGTCTTAATATATTATATCTTTGTGTTAGACTAGGATCCAACACTCTCATTTTGTTCTCAAAATGAAACATCCTATGACACAATACACTACAGGCAACTTAAAAAATATAATGCAAACTTTCAGAATGATTAAATAATATTTTTTATTTTGGGATAGAAATTTCTGAAGTTCATATCGCATGCATCATGGATTGGAGTTTTTCGTAGAAGCAGTGATCATCCATGGATATCGATAAATGGTTCAACTCTCACACTAGAGTGAGTTTTTTTTTTTGAAATTTTGTGCTATATAAGGGAAAACATGAAAGAACAATTCAAGAGTTTTATTAATACATTTGTTTAATTTGAATTGTGAGCATGATATTCAGAGTTAATGAAATGTTGATATAAATATTAAGAATGACTAGTTTTCTTATTAACCAACTCTTACTATATTATATGAAAAATATATCTGCCCATTTGTAAAATATTCTATTATGCTCTCATAGAAGATGCTACTTGTTGTTTTCAAGGATTGCCCTCATACAACGTTAGAACAAAATTGTGCATTTTCTCCATTGCAGGATCACAGAATCACTATCTGCTAATGGAAACTGTGTGATGCTACATGGATATGGCCTCGCATCAAGCAGTTGTGAATCTTCAAAAATATATATTTGCAAGCATGGGTTGTATGGTTAAAACTTGGATTCTACCAGTAACTATTTTTCATGAAATGGAAATAATGTTATGACTGCATATGTCTTCAAGTGAATTATTTGTTCTAGTAAAGATAAAAATTCCATAAGCATTACTGGAAAATAATACACACATCCAAAAGTACAGATATACTTCCTCTTAGTGCCTGTCAATTTTTGGTTAACATTATGTTTGTGACATTCAACTTTTCTAAAAGATCGCATGTCATGTGAGTCCATTTAAATGAACTGTCAAGAATTTTGATATTTTAAATTGACTCACACCACAGAGACCTGAGGATATGTGAGAATAGGAACTATTAATTGGTTTACTGCTTCTTTAGGGGGCTGAAAACTTTCCAAATTCTGAGAGTGGTGATAGCTGCAAGGCTCTGCGAATATACTTAAAATCACTGATATGCACACTCTAAATGCATGAACTCTGTGCTTTGTAATTACACCTCAGTAAGGCTTAAAAAAACACTTGGGGTTATGTTGGGGGCTGCATTTTAATTTTAAATAATTTATAAAGATTAGGCAATTTAAAATATCATGGCTTACAATCAAATCATGCTTTATTCTTCCATGTACTTGGTTTTCTTTCATTTCTGTACTATATTTTTTAATTTTCCTGTATTGAAGTCTTAAAGAAATATGAATATTAGTATTTCATAATCATGGTTTTGTAAATGGCATACTTCTTTAAAAGTTTCCTTTAGTAATTTTTCTATTTTAAAAAGATATACAATTGAGGTTGGTTTACATGTTAATTTTGTTATATTAGTTTTATCATTTCAAACATTTATTCCTTTGAACAGTTTATATAAATATTTATTTAATTTCTTTTTCCTTGGTACAATTTTTTCATTTTCTTGACTTATTACCACAGAGTAGGGTTTTATTTTCAATGTTGGATAGTATGGAGAGTAAGAGTTCTACATGTATCCATCTCTATTTTAGGGAAAAAACATTTAAATATTTCATCATAAAGTATGAGTTCTGTTTTAAATTTTTCATTATACTTTTCATATATTAAGCAATTCCATAATATTGCTATTTTCTAATAGATTCTACATTTGATTGATGTTCCATTTTTATTATTGTTGTATCATTTGTAATGATGCTTTTTCTGCATAGTTTATGAAGTAAATTACCTTTATTTCATTCAAATATTAAACCAATCTTGCATTTCCAAATTAAAGCCACAATAATCAATTTGTTTTGTCCTTCTTTAAATGTCAGTGCATATAGTACTTATTTTAATTTGTTTTTTCATTATTGTTCATAAAGAGTTCTGAATGAGTTTTTATGTAATGTACTCGACAGTTTTTATTTCTTTGTTTGTTTATTTTTATTGTTGTTCAAGTATAGCTGTCTACCTTTTCCTGCCACCATTTTCACTATCCCACCAACCTCCCACCTCCCACTGCCAATCTTACCTACCTTTGGTGTTGTCCATGGCTCCTTATACATGTTCCTTACCCTTCATTCCCCCATTTTTCCCTATGCCCCCTCCTCTCATTAGTGTCAGTTTGTTCTTTATTTCAATGTCTCTTTAGTTTTTTTTTATGCACTCATTTACTGGTGGGCATTTAGGTTGCTTCTAGCACTTGGCTATTGTGAATTGTGCTGCTATGAACATTGGGGTGTGTAGGTTCTTTCGAATTGGCATTTTGGGATTCTTAGTGTATAATCCCAGCAGTGGAATTATCAGGTCAAAAGGGAGCTCCATTTTTAGTTTTTTAGGAAATTCCACAGTGTTTTCCACAGTGACTGTACCAGTCTGCATTCTCACCAGCAATATACTAGGGTTCCCTTTCCCCCACAACCTTCCCAGTACTTCTTGTTTGTTGATTTGTTTATGATGGCCATTCTGAATGGTGTGAAGTGGCATCTCATTGGGGTTTTAATTTGAATCTCTCTGATGGCTAGTGATGCTGAGCATCCTGTCATGTGTGTCTGGGCCCTCTGTATGTCCTCCTTGGAGAAGTGTCTGTTCACGTCCTTTGCCCATTATTAGACTGGGTTGTTTGTCTTCCTGAGTGTAGTCATGCGAGCTCTTTATATATTGTGGAGATCAGACCCTTGTCCAATGTAGTCAGACCCTGATATAACTTATGAAGTGATCCCCAAGTAATTCTAGTCCCTACTGTGTACTTTATGTGATGATTTGAATATTATTAACAATATTTCCTATCCTTTACACCCTCATGACAATTTCTTAACTACCAATTAGTAGAATTTTCTTTTAGAATTTCTCATATGCAGCAGGGTTGCACATCACTGAAAGTTTTACAATCTGTGGTTTATTTGTTACCTTTTTCCCCTTTGGTAAGAACAGTTCAGATCCATGTCTGAGTGAACTTCAATTATACAATACAGTGGTATTGACAGTAGCCACCATGTGAAACATTAGTTTCTTAGGCTTCTTCATCTTCCAAGTGAAAGTTTGTACCTTTTTTCCAATTTCTCCTTAAATTCTTACTCCCAGCCCCTGACAGCCATTGTTCTCTGAATTTGTTATTTTAAAATTTCACCTGTAAATGATACCATGCAGCAATAGTCTTTCTTCATCTCATTTATTTCACTCAGCAAAATGCCTTCAGGTTCATCCTGGTCATATGAGAGAAATTCTTTTTCTCTTGGCTGAATAATAATTCATTGTGTGTGTGTGTATAATTTCTTTTAATCCATTCATCTATTAGACACACTTAGGTTGCTTTCATACCTTAATTATGGTGAATAATGCTTCAAGGAACTTGGGAATACAGATACTTCTTCATATTAATTATGTCTTTCTTTGCATACGTACCCAGAAGTGGGATTGGTGGACCATATGGTACTTTCCATTATAACTTCCCAATGATGGTTAAACATTTACACTTTTCTTGATACAATATGAAACTGATAAAAAGATTTCCATTTGATACATCCTAGGTGACTCCCATTTAATGATTTATTTCTTCTGAGACTCATGTGTCATTTCCTTGTTTTCAAAACTACTCTTTGTGCCCTCCGCCATTTTGGTTATATGAAATTTTTTAAAATTATATTTGTTTCTTTCTACATAGTTATAACATAACTACAGTGAGACATAGGAAGAAAACAAATTGGCTTTTGTCATTTACAACAAACATTTCTATTAAAATACAGACAGCTATTTATGATTAGAGGATGAATTAATGAATAATAAAATGAGTAGCAATTTCACATTTCAATCTCTTACATTAAAGCACAGTACAATGTTGTTTAGTGTTTTCTTATTCTTAGAGGCACTTATTTTTATCGGGGATCATATAAATTCCTTATATGCAAATAACAAATTTAATGCAGTCATTTAAAAAAACATGGGCACAGAGATTGAGGAGGTAAGTTTGGGCATTAATATTTGTGACACTTATCTTAAATTGAAAATGCAGTCATTCCTCAGAATATTAGTGACAAATATTATTGAGTACTTACTGCTAATGGGACTGTGATTTTATCTTTTTCCATTATAACTAAGAGACAAGGAGTGTATACATAAATTGAAGTAATGCCAGCATTAGCAACACTATCCAAGGGTAGGACTAAAACATCTAAGATTCTCTTAACAAGGCCAAAATTTTCAGTGTTTGTATATTTTAAGATTGAGGTAAGTTAAAAGTAGGGTGGACAAGTTTTTTTTTGTTCCAGAAATCTTTGGAAGTATGCAAGTGATTTCTCAGGGGCACTTACAAATGCACAAACTAAATGACACTCAACAAGCTCACAGTCTCCTATATTCTGGAGGTGTGTATGAGATAAACCATCTTAAAACTGCCCAAGTGTAAGAATTTCCTGTTCAAACTTTAAGTGACACTATGATGAGAAATCTTTTTTCTACTTTTGCCTCACTCTCAGTGTTCAGGGGGCCGTCTGTGAGGACCACAGACACTGCTTGTAGACGGGAGTCAGCAGGTCTCCTGTGAAGGATGCAGGACTTTCTGGCTCCCAGAGGTATGTGTCTCTCCTCTCCTGTGTCTCTACTGACCCAATTCATTTAATGGGAAAGTACAAATGCCAAATGTGTTTCAAATGAAGTACAATCAATACACAATAAAATTGAAGAAAACATTGGTGTTCATTTTTGTATACTTTACAGTAAAGTGTAAAATTTGAAAAATTTTTGCCTGTGCAAATTACTAAGAAGCATACCACATGCATATTTCACTTTGAAAATCAGGATAACTTAAATGGAAAGCTGTAAGCATCCTGACAAGGAGCAGTTAACTTTGGATTTTGTAATTAACATATATAATAATATATGTGGGTTATTTTATATTTAATCCAAACCATAAAATAGATTTTTAAAATGAATTAATCAAATCGTGAGGGTCAAATATAATTCTTCAAAAATGCATTTCAGTTAAATAGAAGCTGTTTGACTTGCAATAAAAAAATCAAGATTTAGCAGTCTCTGAAAACCATTATTTAAACTTAATTATAAACAATCAAAAGATTTTTAAAAATGCAACAAAACATTGCAACAAGAGATGCCACATTGTTAAGATGCCACATTGCTAATTCCTGCACTCCTGTGGCAGGAATTGTTACACTGTCTGATATAAGTAAAAGTAGTAACATGTCAACTATGTTATAATAATTAACTGGAAATTTATAAATGTAGATTATTAAGTGTTGTGCATGCATTGTATCTCACATATTTTTATTCTGACTTTGATTAGCCAACTAGGTTGCTAGACACTAATTACTAAAGGTTGTACATTGTAAATTTCAAAGACAGACTGTATTCCAAATCTCACTGACTGCAGCATCCAGTGACTGAATTTTTAAATTGCATTTTCTGATTTATTATATTTTACTACACATTACAGAATTTGAAAGCCAAGGGATTTTTCTGGACATTTGCAGCAACAGTGTTCCCCCATATACTACTTTATTCTTTGCAAAGTTGTTACTTTTCATTGCTTCCACCAATAATATATTGTCAGACATAGAATATCATTTTAAAAACCATTATTTTCTCAGAAGCACCTGTTTAAATCTCTAAGTAAATGAAAACAAGACTTCACATTTGCCCAATGCAAAATCAGTACTATTTCTTTTCTCACACTCCACCCACACTGACTCTCCTGGGGATCCACCCCCATATTCTCTGTAAGTATGTTTTTGAAATATTCAAGAGAATTTCTCACTGTATGTA